GAGGCCAGCCTGGTCTACAAAGGGAGTTCCAGGACAGGCTCCAAAGCTACAGAGAAACCCTGTCTCGAAAAACCAAAAAAATAAAAATTAAAAAAAAAAAAACCCCAGCGATGTCAGCTAGCTCGGTGAGGCCGTCCTGAGCATAAGAACATGTGGTGGCCAGGCGATGGTGGTGTATGCCTTTAATCCCAGCACTTGGGAGGCAGAGGCAGGGGGATCTCTGTGAGTTCGAGACCAGCCTGGTCTACAGAGCTAGTTCCAGGACAGGCTCCAAAGCCACAGAGAAACCCTGTCTCGAAAAAAACAAAACAAAACAAAACAAAAAACCCTGTCTCGGGGGAAAAAAAAAAAAAGAACATGTGGTGTTTGTTTCTCTATGCCTTGAATTCATGGTTTATTTAACAGATAAGGATTGAACATTTAATCTGTGCCATGTTAGATGCGACTTTAAGTTCATGTTACCATGAACCTTGTTTTTTGGGGAAAGACAGACACTAAATAAGGAAACAGGCAAAATGCTTGAGACTAGAGTGCATTGAATCCTTCCCTTTTTTTCAGATTTTGGAATATTTGCAGGTAAATATATCTTAGATATAAGGCCTAAATCTTTGTTGTTGTTGTTGTTGTTGTTTTGTTTTTCAAGACAGGGTTTCTCTGTGAAACAGTCCTGGCTATTTTGGAACTCACTCTGTAGACCAGGTTGGCCTCGAATTCACAGAGATCCACCTGCCTCTGCCTCCCAAGAGTTGGGAGGTATCCGCCAAGCCTGGTTTCACTCACATTTTCTCTACATTTTTTTCTTTTTTCATCTAGCTCAGGCTGGCCACTGTGCCCATTTTTATAAGCGTTTGGGGATTGTACACGTGACACAAGCATTTTACAGCTGAACTCCATCCCCAGACTGCGGTTTCCAGTTTTTCATACACGCTCACACACACTTGATCATATATAGCCTAGGTAAGATTTGTTTGTGAATATAAGTTTTTGAGACAGGATCCTACTGCAATGTATGTGATCCTCAAACTCTCAGTCCTCCTGACTCAGCGTCCTAAGTGTTGAAGGTATGGTCGGGTAGAGCCCTGTGTCACCATACCTGGGCAGAGTCAGGGTTCAAAATTTTGGCTCACGGGGACACAGCATTCGTTTGCACAGCATATTTTTTTGTATAATAGAAATTTCAAACTAAAGAAACTGTAATGATGTAATCCTGATTATGAATGTTGGCAGGCTACTTTAGCTGACTGGGTGGTCTGTGTTGACTTCTCTGGGGAGGGATCAAATGCTATATAAATGCTTATTTGTTTTATTTTGGTTTTGGGTTTTGTTGTTGTTTTGGTTTTTCTTTTTTTATATTTTTATTTTTTAAGTTTTTTTATTTTTTGGTTTTTCGAGACAGGGTTTCTCAGTGGCTTTGGAGCCTGTCCTGGAACTAGCTCAAGCAGAGACCAGGCTGGCCTTGAACTCACAGAGATCCGCCCGCCTTTGTTTCCTAAGTGCTGGGGATTAAAGGCGTGTGCCACCACCACCTGGCTTGGTTTGGTTTTGGGAGCCAGGGTTTCTCTCCGTTGTTCTGACCATCCTGGAACTCACTCGGTAGACCAGGCTGGCCTCGAACTCAGTGACCTCCACAATCCAACCTCAAGGTTATATGTTCTCAAAACTTCAGTCTGTCTTGTGTATTCAGCTCGACCATTTAATGGGCCATCTATTAACTGTAATTTTACCATCCCTTTGTATAGAAGTAGACATTTCGTGGTTATTATTTATTTATTTTAGTTTCTCGATACAGGGTTTCTCTGTAGCCCTGGGGCCTGTCCTGGAGCTCGCTCAGTAGACCAGGCTTGCCTGCACCACCATCGCCCCGGTCTCGTGGCTGTTTTTTTTAACGTTCTGGCTGCGTGGGTTCCATTCCGGATAACGGGGTTGAGACTCTTCGGCGGGTCCTCCGCACGCCAGGGGTCGCTGTGGCGCCTCGCCGCCGCTCCAGGTCACTCTCGTGTGGCCGCCCCGCCTCGGGCCCCCGGGCAGAGTGGGCGGGCACGACTGCGCCCAGGTCGCGAGGCGCCCTTCGACCAGCAGCGCCCGGGGCGGGCGGGTATAAATGGAGCGGTGGCTGTCCCAGCCGCCTCTCTCCGCCCCGGGTCGCAGCAGCTAGTGCTGCGTTCGGGCTCAGCAAGCCTGAAGCAAAAAAGAGAAAAAGCTTAAAAAAATTACAAAAAAGCCTAAAAACCTTAAAAAAAAAGAAGAAAGAAAAGAAAAGAAAAAAGAGCAAAAGAAGAAAAAGAAAAAGAACGGGAGAGCGAATCGTGCTGAGTGCCCGCGGGGAAGTGACTTTCGCACGTTTCCGGCCTGCCTGTCTGTCCGCGTCAGTCCGTCCGGTGGTGAGCCGCCCCCATTCCGCACGGCACGCCTCTGCGCCGCGTGGCAGCCCCGCGCCCCGGCCGGCCGCACCACGTGTCCGCTGCCCTTCGCCGGCACCCGCAAAGATTCGGTTTCCCCCTTCCCCGGCCGCTGTAATTGTAAACCGCCGGGAGCCCGGGGCCTATATTTATCGAGACGCGTGTCCCCGGGGCCGCTGTTGAGCGCAGCATCTGTCTGCCTCTAGAAAAAAAAAATTTTTGGCCCCCTTTGCCAGGGGATTCCCTAGTTTAGTTTTTATTTTTAAGCCCCAAGCTAGGACAGCTGGAGAGTACAAACTCCAGGAGAGGGCCATATTGTTTTTGAAAGCCTTTTGTCTTTGGGGTTTTTGCGGTTCCGTGCAAACGTTCCCGCACTCCCGTCCCGCCTGTTCCAGCCTTTGCCGGTGTCGCTGGTGCCACCTGTGCGCTGCGGCGCGGGCCACGGCTCCTCGGAGCCCCTTTTGTCCTGCAGTGAGCCCTGTAAGAAGTCCTGGCGGGGCTCGGGGTGGTGGGGGGTGGGGAGATGAACGCTGCGGCCAGCAGCTACCCCATGGCCTCCTTGTACGTGGGCGACCTGCACTCGGACGTCACCGAAGCCATGCTGTACGAAAAGTTCAGTCCTGCGGGGCCTGTGCTGTCCATCCGGGTCTGCCGCGATATGATCACCCGCCGCTCTCTGGGTTATGCCTACGTCAACTTCCAGCAGCCAGCTGACGGTGAGTAGAAACAGTGTCTACACGGTCGGCAGATTCCGGGGGGGACCTTAGGAGTCCTGTAGGCGGAGGCCGCTCTGGCAAGAGCTGGCGAGGAACGTGACAGCACGGGGCCAGAGAAGTCACCGGTGGAAGCAAGACGCGGTGCTCGAGAGCCGAGCTCGTGGTCACGACCCCGGCTTCCAGTCTCGCTTCCACCACTAGCTAACCTGATGACCTTGGGCTACTGGGTGGGGGGTGGGGTGGAGTGGGGGTTGGAACGCCGGGAGGTGGTAAATTGGGATCTGAATGAAGTGACTGGGCTGGTCTAGTGCGTCTAGTCCCACTCAAGCCGAAGTGGGTCTGTTGTAGACCCTGGCATGGACTGGCACTCCTCGATGGCTTGAAGCAGTGCCCACCACCAGATTGCAAAGCTGCTGGCCCTCTCCGCTTCTTAACCTGTCCAGAATCTTGATTTTTGTGTTGATTAGGGCGACTGTAGGGCAGTGGGAAGCAAGGGAAACAATTTCATGCCTTAACCTTGAGGGCAGCTTTGCTGGTGTGGCAGGCAGCATCTACCCGGCCACCTCCCCACCCCCCACCCCCACGTTTGCCACAATGTTTTGGGGACTTTTCTCAGCTCTGGTGAAGCTCTAGGCTGTGGAGGACGGTGCCTAGGTAGTCTGGGGGGGGGTGGTCGCTTTAAATCTCCTGGGCACCTGTGGGTGGTGCGTTATGGTTGTGGAAAGCCCTTGTGACAGAAAAGAACCACACCAAGGTGGGCTCCCAGTGCAGTGTTCCGCCGTCCCAGGTGGAGCAGTGGAGACTGCAGGCAAGCCTTGAATAAGCCCTGGAGAAACCCAACCGGGGGCTGCACGTGACTCCAGATTAAAAGGGAGCAACTGCGGAGACCACTGCTGGGGGAGGGGTGGAGGCCATACCTGAGCCGTCCTGTGGCCGAGGATGTCTAGGCCCCTATTTTTCTAGCATTGATGAGGCAAGATACGTTTTTTTCTCCCCGGTTGCAGCTAAGACCAGGGAATTGGTCTAGTAGACAACAGGTATTTCTATTGTCAAAGTATTTAGAAGCTAATCCTATTGCTTGCCCATGGGGGTATAAAGAGGGGGGCGTGCTTTTTTTTTTTTTTTTTAAAGCAGGAGAGTAATGGAGTCCCTTGGCTGTTGCCTTGCTTTCTTGACTTAACGAAAGTTGTGTCTCTTAGAGATAGCAGAAGCCATTGGTCGGTGTGTCTGCCAACACATACCTCTGTAGGACTTTCTGCCTGCTATAAATAAGTGTAGCCCGATTTGCCAGCTTACCAACTCCTGGTGTTGTCTGAAATAGATCAGGGATTGTGTTGGGATGGGCTCCTTTACTGCTGATATAATGGAATAGTTTGAGTTTGCAGACTTAGGGATAAGCTCCTACCGGACTTTCTGAACTGGCTTGTTTCCCCTCTGCCCAGCCACAGTCCCCAGCGCCCATGAAGATTTAGCCCCCAAGGCTGATTGGATGGTTGGATTTGTTGAGCAGTTTAGGGAGCTTTTCCTTTTCTTGGTAATGCTAGGGATTAAAGCCAGGGTCTCAGCATATTGGGCATTGTCCTACTACTAGGCCTGTTGCTCGTCTTTTTCCTGCTTTGAAGTAAGGGTAAGGTGAGAACTAGGCTTGCCTACTTGGTTGTTTTTGTTGTTTTTGACACGGGGACTCCATGTAGTCCTGGCTGTACTGGAGCTCAATTCTTTGGTTTTTTTGAGACAGGGTTTCTCTGTGTAACAGTCATCATAGCTGACCTGGAACTAGTTCTTGTAGACCAGGCTGGCCTCGAATTTACAGAGATCCTCCTGCCTCTGCCTCTCAATGCTGGGATAGAGGCGTGTGCCACCACCACCTGGATGAGCTTGATTCTTAATGTAAACCAGGCTAGCCTTGAACTGGGGGATCCACCTGCCTTTGCCATGTGGCAAAACCTCCTGGGAGCACAACACACCACAAATAAGAGCCCATGGCAGAACAAAGCGTGGATACCAGTGAAGATGCCAACAAAAGCCAATGAGTTTGATTGGGGTTCCTTGAAGGAATTGGGTGAGACAGCTAGCTACATGACCAAAGCCCTGTCCAGTGTGTGTGAGACCCTCACAAAGCTGGAGCCCTCTTCTAGGCTGCTTGGCTGGTTCCTGCTTTTTCTAGGCAGCTGGTCCACTCTTAACATTTTTACAGCTTTCTCTTGAGCAACTTGGCAGCTTGGCTTGCTTCCCACTGGAGGAGGGGGTGACTTTAATATTTATTTTGCAGGGAGTGCCCTAGTGAATCTGATCAGTTTCAGGGACTTCCTAAAGCCATTTTGAGTTTCTACCTTCCTGCGTATGTACTTCTTGTAGGATGGAATATGTTTTAATTTGGGAGGAAATTTGCACATCATGGCTGGGATCAAGAGCTGGCACCCAGCTGCCTTGCTTGGACTGTGGAGCTGGGAACCTTACGTAGCCCAGGCTGAGCTTGAACTTGTGATCTTCCTGTGCTGAGATTTTTTTGGTCCTTCACTGTCTCTGTGGCACCTGGTGGGCTTGGTAGGGCAGCTGAATTCCTAAGATTCTATAGAATTCTGATTAAACCTTTGAAAGGTCTAGGCGTGACTCTTGGCTGCTCACATGGGGCAGGGTTGGTAGCCAGTGAAGACCCTGGAACATGAGCATAGTCCATGGCTGGGGACCTTATTTTTTAATCGGGTATTAATAGTTGAGTGATCTGGAATAGTGATAGTCATTTTGGTTGATGTTTAGCATTCTTAATTAAAATATGTTCCTCTTCTACAGCTGAGAGAGCCTTGGACACCATGAACTTTGATGTGATTAAGGGAAAGCCAATCCGGATCATGTGGTCTCAGAGGGATCCCTCTTTGAGAAAGTCTGGTGTGGGGAATGTCTTCATCAAGAACCTGGACAAATCTATAGACAACAAGGCACTTTATGATACCTTTTCAGCCTTTGGAAACATCCTGTCCTGTAAGGTAAGCAGTAAAGTTCTTTTTTTAAAAAAAAAATATTTATTATGTATGCAGTTTTGTCTGCATGTATGTCTGCAGGCCAGAAGAGGGCACTACATCTCTGTAGATGGTTGTGAGCATCCACCATGTGGGTGCTGAGAATGGAACTCTGGACCTTCAGAAGGGCAGCCAGAGCTCTTAACCTCTGAGCCACATCCCCAGCCCCAACATTGTATTATTTTTTAGCTAAATATTTCCTGGATCTTGAAAACAAGATAAATGCTATGGCTGGGTGTGGTATGCTGTCAAAGGCTGAGATAGGAGCTATCTAGGGCATTCAAACACAGCCTGGGGTGTAAGACTCAAAACAAGATAATAAAAGGGAGAGTGCCTTAGAATTAGAGACAGCTGGGTGTGGTCATTTTTTAAATGCTGAAAATGGAGCATCTCCTTCAGAAGAGGGCAGAGGCTTAGTGTTTCCAGGACCAGTTACTTAGCCATCTCAGAGACATTCTTCAGCCTTCACGTGGTTGAGAAGCCATCTCTTCCTAAGCACTTTGGTTTTTACCCAGATCTCCTGGGTTTTTTTTTTTTTCTTTCCTATTACTTTGTTGCGCTGATAATTGAACCCAGGGCCTGTCCAGTGCTGTGCAGGGGCTCTACTGCTGAGCTAGTCTCCAGCCTTCTCCCTTTAAATTTTTATCTTTTCACTTATGAACACTTTGTATCATGGTTTGTTTGTGGAGGTCAGAGGATGATTAACAAGAGTCAGTTTGTTTCACCTTGTGTATCCCAGGGAATGAACTGGGGCTGTAGGCTTGGGGATAAACTCCTTTACACATTGAACCACATACAGACCCCTTGTGTTTGTGGGGTTTTTTTTAATTATTTATTTTTGAGGCAGAATCTTAGAATCTAGGCTGGGCTCCAAAATGTTCTGTGTACTGTGGATGACCTTGAACCTCATCCGAGCTGTGGCTATCCCAAGTACTCTTACAAGCTTGTCACCACACTCAGCCAGATTTTTTAAAAAAAAGAATATTAATGAAAGTAAATTTGGAACAAAAGTCTGTGCTCAGCAGGAAACTCATGTGGTAGAGTGCTTGCTACACAAGAAAGGATCTGAGTTTGTCCACATAAAAAGTGGACATGGGGCATGCATATATAATACCAGTACTGGGGAGGGATATAGAATTCCTGAAACATAATTCCTGGGGGCTTGCGTGCCAGGCAGCCTGACCTGACCAGACTGTATCCAAAAGAACCCCCTGAAGCTGACCTCCCCTCCACAAGCATGTTTTGGGTAGAAGCAGGCTAACTGTTTGTGAGTGGAGTACTGGTGCTCTGTGATGTTGGGTCACAGGAGGTCCTAGCTGGTACATCTGGCGGATGCTCAGGTGGTCTACCTCTTCTTCAACAGGTGGTTTGTGATGAGAATGGCTCTAAGGGTTATGCCTTTGTCCACTTCGAGACCCAAGAGGCTGCCGACAAGGCCATCGAGAAGATGAATGGCATGCTCCTCAATGACCGCAAAGTGTGAGTGTCCCAGTCTGGAGCGACAACCATCGCATGAGCCAGCCATGGCCCCACCTCGGTATTAACTGGCACACACAAGGCGGCTACTGGTTCTCTCGGCCCAAGTGTGGCCTGCTCCTACCTCTCCACTCCAGGGCTGGTGAGTCTCCCTGCCCGAGCCATGGCAGCCCTTTTGACTCGCCACGGTGGGCTCCCTGCCCGAGCCATGGCCTGCCAGCTGCCTCTCCCTTAAAGGCATTCATCTGTGGGTTTTGTGAGCATCAGCAACTGGGACTGGCTAGAAGACAGCTCTGAGCCCGCTCTGAGCAGGGGTCTTGGCCAGCGGCAGAGTGGAGAGGCCCTGGGCTGACCAGGAGCTGGATATTACTAGCTGTGTGACCTTGGCTTTCCTTTGACCCATGGGTCACTAAATTGTCCTCTACCTAGTTCTTCCTTCCTCTGAGCTGCAGCTCCCATTTTACTGCAGGCATAGTTTGCATACAGTGAAAAATACATCTCTTTGCGGGGACACGTTGTAACATCTTGTCATTACTGTGGGGCGGGGACAGAACTTAGCTGAACCATGTGGGGGGAAAGTACTGTTACATTTTGGCTATTAGAAGCAGCAATCATTTCTGTCCTTTGTGGTGTGGGACAGACAAGGCTGTGCTTATATCTATCGGGTGTGGAGCTATTTTCCTGGTGGAGTTACCAGGTGATGCAGCAGGAAAGCAAAGGCTCCTGGTGACAGTGATCACGCTAACCGCTGTTAACAGTTTGGTTTGTGCCCTTCCAGACGTTTTCTATGCATTTACATAGATGCACAGAAATGAACATTTTAAAAACATGGTCGTCAGGTTTCTTCACGAAGGCAGTATGATGTGGTAGGAGTGGCCCTGGTCTGAACCAGGGTCCCTGGGACTGGTCCTTGCAGGATAGTCCTGCCTCTTTCTTTTCCTGCTGGGGACTTGGGCATCTGAGCTTGTTCTCACTGTGGATGGGGCCCTGGTATTAACCTCTCCTGTCAGCCTTTCCTCTGCACTCCTTTGGGACCCTGGAGGTCATGTCTGTTCCTTCTGAGTAAACGCTGTGCTTCCTGGTGTCTTTGTAGGTTTGTGGGCAGATTCAAGTCTCGCAAAGAGCGTGAAGCTGAGCTTGGAGCCAAGGCCAAGGAATTCACCAATGTTTATATCAAAAATTTTGGGGAAGACGTGGATGATGATAACCTGAAAGAGCTCTTCAGTCAGTTTGGTGAGTGGTGTCTGTAGCCCACATGTCCTTTTGTCCTGTTCACCAGCTCGAGAAATGACCTGTTCTCAGGGTCAGGGTGGGTAAGGTCCCGACCTTTTCCTCTCGGCTTCATCCTAGCTCCTTTCATTGTGATTTTTTTTTTTAAGGCCAGGCATGTTAACCTCTTTCTGCCTTAAGCCCGTCTGGGCTCAGCCAGGGATTCCTTCAGTTGAGTTACTAGCAAGAAACCTTGAGCTGTGGTAAATGGTGTCACTAATAGTTCTGTCCTTCGATAACAGGTAAAACCCTAAGCGTCAAAGTGATGAGAGATCCCAGTGGGAAATCCAAAGGCTTTGGCTTTGTCAGTTACGAGAAGCATGAGGATGCCAATAAGGTGCGTGTACTGTGAGGGTCGGGCAGAACCTGTAGGTAGTACCTGGTGCCTGGTAGAGCTGGGCTGGAGTGGGCTGCCTAGTGGTAGGTGTGCAGCGCTATGCCCTGGCATCAGCGCTCATGCCAGTCCACAGTTAAAATGTCGGTTACACCACCCAGCATTTGCTCGTACCTGTCACTATTGAAAGACTGGGACAGGTAGTTGTTTCCATTCTTGTAGGGGGACTGAAGCCTCAAGTTGGATCTCTGCCTGTAGGCAGAGCAGTGTGCTGGACTCTTAAGCTTCAAAGGGGCCTGAAAAGCCTATAGCTAGATCATTAGTCAAGACTGGCATCTGCCTACGTTTTATACAAATACTGGGTGTGGAGTCTTCTCTTACTCTCTTTTTGCCTTCTGCACTCAAATCTTTCCCAGTCCTGCTGCCTGGTGCTGGTCTGGGGACAGACGGTGCTACAGTAGAGCAGAGAATATCCAGACGGGTCGTTTTCCATTTGTCTTGAGGCCTGTCCCTACAGCTCTGCCACACTTCCTCCTGGGCAGTGAGGGTGTTTGGAAGATGCTGGAGCTGGGATTGGGAATTAAGACCCAGTAACACAGTTAGATGCTAGCCCCACTTCTCAGACGGGTCTGGATACTCCAGAAGACCCTGTCTCTGCACCTGCATTACGGACATACATCTTCTCTCTAGGCTGTGGAAGAAATGAATGGAAAGGAGATGAGTGGGAAAGCCATATTTGTAGGCCGTGCGCAGAAAAAAGTAGAGCGTCAAGCTGAATTGAAACGGAAATTTGAGCAGCTGAAGCAGGAGCGAATTAGTCGGTACCAGGTGAGGTGGGCTGCCATCTAAGAGGACATGAGACTGCTCTGTGGGCTTGGCATCTGTACCTAACTGCCTGCCAATAAAGGTTATGGCCTCAGGTGTGGAGGGCATTGCTGAGCAGAGTCAGTGATTTCTGGCCTCTGTTCTGAAAGTGTCTATACTCACTGCTCTTTGCTGTGTGGGTTCGTTTTTCTTAAACTGATGCCCCCTTTGGTAGCTCAAAGGTCCCTGGAGAGTGCGTGATAGATAGGCCAGGGCAGCTGTGGAGAAGGTGACGCGGCTGCATTGTTGGCCCTGGTGGTTTTAGGGCAGAAGTTGCTCAACTTGGGCTCAGAGAGACCGCGACTTACTTTTAACCCAGTCTGGCCTGGAGAAAGTCACAGTCTAGCTTAGGCTGACCTTGAACTCTCAGAAACCCTCTCAAACTCCAACTCTGGAGTTTCAGGTTTTGTGGTTTTGAGTCAGGGTCTTGCCTAGCCTAGTCTAGCCTCAGACAGACACTCAGTTGCCCCCCTGCCTTGACCCCTCTGAGCGTTTGTTTTTGAGACTTTTTTTCAACAGACAACAGTTTTAATTTGACAAGTTTCCAAGCATGTTCTAGGGCTCACATTGGGAAGTGTCTGTGTGTACAGGTGTAATTAACAGTGGTCCCTTCCCCAGGGAGTGAATCTCTACATTAAGAACTTGGATGACACCATTGACGATGAGAAATTACGGAAAGAGTTCTCTCCTTTTGGATCGATCACCAGCGCTAAGGTAATATGAGTGTGAGCGTGTGGGTTTGGAAGCAGCACGGTCTGGTGACATCAGTAGATGTCAGTTATGACGGTGGTCCTGAGTACATATTCCAGCATATTCCTCCTTGCTTCGGGTGCCCCTGAGAGTCTTGCTCTGGAGAAGGAGATGTGATGTCTGCTTGCACTGGAGCTTGGAGTCTGGCCCAGCTCCTTCCTCCCTGTAGCCCCTACAGCACTCAAATCTTTCCCGGTCCTGCTGCCTGGTGCTGGTCTGGGGACAGACGGTGCTACAGTAGAGCAGAGAATATCCAGACGGGTCGTTTTCCAATTGTCCTGGGGCCTGTCCCTACAGCTCTGCCACACTTCCTCCTGAGCAAGCTCTACGTGAAAGTTTGACTGGGTAGCCATGCTTACATGGACATGAGCGGTGGCATGTCCTTGGCACTTAAGGAATGTAAACGGCCTGACATGAGATGCCACTGGTAGCGAGAAAGGGGACTGTGTGACTAAGTGGAATTTGGTGACCCTGCCCTGGCCCGTAGTATAAACTGCTCTCAGGGTAGGGACGTTGTACAAAGGATGTTACCATTTGTATTGGTATGGTTTTAAAGAGATAGGATCTCACTGCATTAGACCAGACTGGCCTCAAGCTCACAGAGATCCACCTGCCTCTGTCTCCTGAGTGCTGGGATTGGGGTGTATGCCACTCTGCCGAGCTGGGGTTATTGTGTTTAAGTGATAGCCTGTTCAGGGTGTTGGCAAAAGGAACCCTGGAGGATGTGGGTGATTAGCCAGAGCAGCTGTGGAGGTGACATGTGACTGCTTTGGTGCTGGCGAACTTTCCTCTTGGTGTTACTCACTTGGCTGGCCTGTTGGAGAATCCTCCTGAGGTCCCTGGTGCTGCCTTCAAGATCATGGCCGAGCGCTGTTCCGTGGGTAGGACATTGTCGAGCTGATGACACTTGACTTTGGGCTGATGATGCCCACACACAAGACTTAGAAAGCAAGAGCCCTTTCAGGACAGGGAAAGACAATAGTGGCTGGCTCTGCAGTTGTGGAAACACAGGCTCAGAGGGTAGGTAAGACTGTTTAGAATCTGGGTTCCCTGGCTTCCAGGTCACTGCCTCCCACTAAACTGGTGGCAGCCATTGGCGACCTGGAAACAACTAAGGTGCAATTAGTTTTTGAGATAGGATTTCACAGCAGCGCATTCTGGCCCCTCTGGAGATGTGCCTTCCTCAGCATTATCTGCTCTCCTTGTAGGTGATGCTAGAAGACGGAAGAAGCAAAGGATTTGGCTTTGTCTGCTTCTCCTCTCCTGAAGAGGCAACCAAAGCAGTCACTGAGATGAACGGACGAATTGTGGGCTCCAAGCCGCTGTATGTTGCCCTGGCGCAGAGGAAGGAAGAGCGGAAGGCTCACCTGACCAACCAGTATATGCAGCGTGTGGCTGGCATGAGAGCGCTCCCTGCTAATGCCATCTTAAATCAGTTCCAGCCCGCGGCCGGTGGCTACTTTGTGCCAGCAGTTCCGCAGGTGGGTCTGCCAGGGGACAGTGCAGCTGCTTCTGTGTTCTGTAGCTGGGGGAGGGGTTTGGGGGTACTGGTGCTGGAGTAAGAAGTTTACCAGTGATCATTGACGCTCGTGACCACAGAGAAAGTGAACCCGTCCCGCTAACGGATCCTCGGCTTTTGGGTAGAGTGCCTTTCACTTAGTAGTAAGGTGAGGGAGTCGGCTAGTGTGTTCAGGTTCTCAGGTTCTGGGTGCTCGTCTCCCCTCCAGGCTCAGGGAAGACCTCCATATTACACACCTAACCAACTAGCACAGATGAGGCCTAATCCACGCTGGCAGCAAGGCGGGAGACCTCAAGGTAAGTAGCTGGAAGCAGGGGCTTCCTCACCAGGTATGCCTGTCCAGTTCCTGCTTCTGCAGCCCAGCCTCTGGCTTGTTGGTGACTTGCTTGTCCCTGTCTCTTGGCCAGGCTTCCAGGGAATGCCAAGTGCTATACGGCAGTCTGGGCCTCGTCCAGCTCTTCGCCATCTGGCTCCAACTGGTAATGCTCCGGCCTCTCGTGGCCTTCCTACTACCACTCAGAGAGTCGGTGAGCAAACTCGCCTGTAGGAGCATGGCCGGGGAGGAGGGAGTCAGGATGATGAGCTCTGCCCTGGCTTGGTCAGCCTGGGACTCTTGAGCTGTGTGCTTAGGCAGGCTCTTCATTCAGGCAGGAGCAGCAACGAAGTGAACATGGGTGTGTTGGTAACTTTGAACATTCCTGCTCACGGTGGCACGTGAAGGGTTAACTGGAAGTATTCTCTCTGGATTACTATACAGACCTGTTGTTGAGGGGTCAGGGGAGAGTATGCCATATTCTAGTGTGCAAAGCCTTGTGTGGTGTCCTTTGGCCCTGTGAGAGACATGTAAGGTCATGTGTTGGAGATTCTTCTTCCGTGGGACGTGGCCAGTTGGACATCCGCTGCCGACACTGATGCGCATTTGCTGGTCTGTTGTAGGGTCTGAGTGCCCGGACCGCTTGGCTATGGACTTTGGTGGGGCTGGTGCCGCCCAGCAAGGGCTGACTGACAGCTGCCAGTCTGGAGGTGGTATTGGCTGCACACAGCGGGGGAAAGCTGGGATTTGACGGGCCTTTGCCCAGGCTGACGGGCTTTAATCACGCTTGTTCTTCCCATAGGCGTCCCTGCCGCCGTGCCAAGCCTTGCACCTCGTGCTGCAGTTGCTGCCGCTGCTCCCAGGGCTGTGGCTCCATACAAGTATGCCTCCAGTGTCCGCAGCCCTCACCCTGCCATCCAGCCGCTGCAGGTGAGGTCCACCACAGCCATGGAGGCCTTTGTCCTATTTGTGCTCAATTTTAAAGATGCCTTGGTTTGGTTCCCTCACCAGGGTCTCCATACCTGTTCTGTCTCCCCTGTGGCGGTTCAGACGCTGGCCCTGAGAGCAACAGGCGTGAAAGCCCTCTGATTAGTAACAGTGCAGAAATAGCAGGAAACAGCTCGTGCTTCCTGTCCCTTAAGACGCCTGCCTGTCAGCTGTGAGCCCTGGCATCACTTTCACACCCAGTGACCTAACTGATCCTTGGTTTGGGATTTAACGGCTGTTAGTAACTCCTCACTTAGAACTGAAGCTCGTCTTCAGGGACATGGCTCTGTTGGCGGGCTTTCCAAGGCTCAGAACCAGGCTCTGCCCTGGAACCATGAGGACCCGAGTTCAGATCCCAAACACACATGGAAAAGCCGGACACGGTGGTTTCCCTGGTGCTGTTGGTTGGGCTAGCCGGTATGACCAAAGTAGTGAGCTTGGGATGAGACCCTAAGTTGACCTTGGCCCCTACACACAAACACCCAGAAGAAAAAGGCTTTACAGAATGTGGGGAGCTTACACCTTGCCTAAGCTGTCTCCTTCCATTAAGTGTGAGCCAGGGTACAACCAGTTCGTTTCAGAGCTTGGTAGCAGTTTGCTGTGCCTGGCCTTGGTTGTGCAAACAGCTTTGGGAGTGTGAGCTGCTGTTCTTCAGTGTCCTCCTCCACGGTCTCTAAAGTGGGGGTTGTCTTTCCTGTAAGGCCTTTCAGAGCTCTGAGCAATGTTACTGTTACATGGTAAATCATCCTGCTTATATGTAAAAATCTGGTCCAGGCCCTGGTGCTGAAGGAAAAATACAGCCAGGATATTGGCATAGCCTGCAATCCTGGCAAGAGTTGAAGGGTTAGGACTTGAAGGTCAGCACTTAGCTACACACTGAGTTCAAGGCCAGCCTGGGTTAAGAGAGACTACATGGAAAACCAAACCTCTGGTAAGGTGATGGTGAAATATGTTTAGACATGCTTTGATTCTCTGACTCCTGGCTTCGTTTGTGCTGGAATTAACTAACGTAAAGGAAACTTTGAAGAGGAGGATACGTGTACAGTTTACTGTGAAGCTGGAACATGCTTATCATTCCAGCCCTTGGGGACTAGGGGTAAAGGGATCAACAAGACCACATGAAAAACAAAATTAAGTTCCCTGTGGCCTGATTGTTACTGAAAGGGCTTGAATTGTTAGGCGAATGCTCACCCAGCATGGCAGGTTTGCTTGCTCAGAGGACTGTGACTTCTGACAACTTGCCATTCGATGGTGGTCCAGTTCCCTGCTGTCCTTCAGTTCCCCAAGGACAGGATTAGACAGCCACTTCCACCCGTCTCTCCCGTTTCTCGTGGGTGCATGTTCAAGTGTTCAGCTTGAGTGTCTAACATAGTGTTAACCCCACTATTGCTGATTCACAGGCACCCCAGCCTGCGGTCCATGTCCAGGGCCAAGAGCCGCTGACTGCCTCGATGCTGGCTGCAGCACCCCCCCAGGAACAGAAGCAGATGCTGGGTAAGTGTCCAGTGCTACTTGTAGAAGAGCAGGGAGCCTGGTGCCAGCTTGTGTTCCCTAGGATTGGATACCCTTGTGATGCTGACTGTTCTGCCCCCAGGGGAGCGTTTGTTCCCACTTATCCAGACAATGCATTCAAACCTGGCCGGCAAGATTACAGGGATGCTGCTAGAAATCGACAACTCGGAGCTGCTCCACATGCTGGAGTCCCCCGAGTCTCTCCGTTCCAAGGTAGGCTGCCCTTCAGGCCCTGTGGCTTTGGGGGTGTTTGGTGAATGCTAGGGTCTTGTCCCGGTGACCCCTCTGCCTCATCTGTGATGTGGGCTACTGCTGAAGGTGACACAGGGAGAGGCAGGTGGCCCTCCTCCATCGCTGGCACTCTTTCTTTCACAGGTGGATGAAGCTGTGGCAGTCTTGCAGGCTCATCATGCCAAGAAAGAAGCCGCCCAGAAGGTGACTGCTGTTGCTGCTGCTGCTGCTACCTCTTAGACAAGGAAAAAGTAGGTTTGACAGTTGGGTTTGGTTTGGTGTTTTTCCAGATAGGGTCTCCCATATGCCCCAAGTCTCCAGAATGCTGGGATTAAAGGCATAACACAGCATGTACCTGTAATCCCAGCTGCCCTGTGGCTAAAGCCCGAGATCACTTGTGCCCAATCTCATCTGAGTGAGCGACACAGATGCACACGCCATGCACACGTAAAAGTAGTCTTTGAAAGTGCCTGATCACATGTGGCTTGGCATTCTCAAGGCCCAGCGCCCCCCACCTTGACAGAAAAACAGTTGTAATTAAAACCAACATACAATCCGCCTGCTGTCTGTACAGGTCTTTCTAGCTTGGCCTGAGGTTGGTGCGCAGTGTTCCTGCTATGTGGTGCAGCAGGCATGGAGGGGCATTGATACCACGCTCTAGTGGGAGAATGGGCACACCTGGTTATATTTACACGGGGACTTTGAGAGCTGTGGCCTCTGCCTAGAATGACCTAGGACTGGTGGGTTCTTTTATAGAGAAAGGAAGGAGTGAAGGACAGAGGTAGAGAGTTGATGTCAGCTGTGTGTGGGCAGCTGGTGGAAATCCGACACAACTGGTAACATGCTTGCTTGCTTGTTTGTGTTTCTCTGATTCAGGCGTCAAAAGCCAAATAAGACCTCATGGCAAAAGCTGAGGTCTGAAGACTCCCTGGTTTGTCTGCGGACCTCCACACCAAGAACCACAGTTGCAAATTCAATAGGTCATTTTGTATCAAGAGGTCAATTATGAAGCACCTAGAATTTTTCAATTATGAGAATATATTCTCTGGGTTCTGCTATGGCCCAGGAGGTAACCTTTTTTTTTTTTTTTTTCTATTGTGGGTTCTGATTTTTTCCCCCTCCCAGAAATTGGATTTAATGTACCCAAGTTTCTCAATAAAGAAAAAAAATCTCATATTTGTGTGTTGCCATTGTTTTTACTCCGTAATTTGGGGCTTTTGCTGGATGTGCTGTTAGGCTTTGAACATAGCAAATGAATTTACTTTTGTGTTTGTGTGTGTGTGTTTTAGAATAGTACAGGGTTATAGCAAGGATGCCCTAAGTTAAATGTGGGCCTGGGAGGAGCTTGCCTGGCACATACTATGCCTGAGGCCCAGCTTGGCTCAAACATGAAAAAGCTGAGTGTGAATTGAACCAGCATAGGACGCTGGCTGCATCCCCATGGCGGGGTCTACACTTGAATATGGTATGCTAAAGGCAGGAGAGTCCAGCTTCCATTGGGGTAGCTGCGTACCCCAGGGGCGGGTAAGGTTTGTCCAGCATCCTGCAGTCACTCACCCTGTTCATGCAGCAGAAGATGCAGTGGCCCGGTTTCTGCAGCAAGGCTTCAGCTGTGGGAAGTGCTCAGGAGTTCCCCCCCCCATGTGAGCACAAGTGCTGGCCAAGGTCAGCTGTCTGTCCAGCCCTGCCCTTCTTAGGGCTGTGGGTAGGTTGTCTCTGGGCTGGCTCCTTTGGTGGCTGGCCTTCCTGTAAGTGACAGGTCCTAAAGCCCAGACTTTCTGTATAGTAAAACAAAAATGACTTTTAAAATTTCTGCATGCATTGAGACTTCAAACCACTTGTAATTCCAGGGTATCCAAGATATCCCTCCTTGGTCACTTTCACGTGCACACTCCACAGAGCTACACTAAGCAGTGGTGGCACTCCCAGCACGTGGAAGGCAGGTGAATTGGAGTTCAAGGTCAGCCTGGTCTACAGTTTAAATTCTAGAACAGCCAGGGCTACACAGAAGCTCTGTCTTGAAAAACCAAAATAATCTTTGGGGTTGGTAGAGAAAGATAACTGAGCCTCATGATCTGGCTGTCACAGACACTACACACACAAGAAATTGAAAAGTAGGCTGTGAGCAGCTAACAGGGATTTTGACATGTGGGCGCTTTGAAAATGAACAGGTTTGGTTGCAATTCTGGAAGGTGGGCTTCACTGAGCTAAAACAGGGTGTTCCATTCAGAACTGTCCTTTTGGAGGCTGGGGGCGGGGGCAGGTAGGACCGGTTTCCTATCCAGCTTCTAAGGATTCCATTACTTGCATATGGCGCCTTCAAACCCAATAGTGACCAGTCAAGCCTAACGTTTAGAGCATGCTCTTCCCTCCGCTTCTGAGTCTCTCTGAACCTGAGATGGGCTCAGAACCTTGGTAGGTTCTGCCTGCCTCCCGCCACCCCCCACCCCCGGCTCTGGGGTTTGGGTGCCTGTCAGTGACTATCAGTACTGTACTGAGGATCTGAACTCGGGTCCTCAGGTTTGCAACAGCTGCTTTATCTCCTGAGCATCCCCACAGGAACACTTCAGTATTCTGGCTCGGTTGTTCCCTCTTGTCTCCAACTGGCATGGAATCCAGGCAGGCCCTTGGGCATACATATCATTTTCTTTATACATAATTATAATCAGCTTTTATGTATCTATTTTATGCATATATATACACACATATATACACACAAACATGTTTTTTTTTCACTCTGCACTGGTTGAGAAGAAACTACATTACACCCCACTTACTAAAATTTTAATTTCTCTTTTTTTTTTTATTTTCGAGACAGGGTTTCTCCGTAGCTTTTTTGGTTCCTATCCTGGAACTAGCTCTTGTAGACCAGGCTGGCCTCGAGCTCACAGAGCTCCGCCAGCCTCTGCCTCCCGAGTGCTGGGATTAAAGGCGTGTGCCACCACCGCCCGGCCCAAGTCGGCCTGGCTGACCTCTCAGCTCACGGCCTCTTCCTGTGTACTAGGGGCAACAGTGCCTAGCTTTAATATGCTTTCTAAAAACAAGAACAAAATTCCTTTAATCCCAGCACTCTCTCAGTTCGAGGCCAGCCTGGTCTACAGAGTGAGTTCTAGGACAGCTAGGACCATTACATAGAAAAACTGTCTCAAAAAAACTAAAAATAAAAAACTACAAGTACAAATTCAATAGAGGGACAACACGGACCTTTTCTGCCCTGCTCAGACCTTACGTTATAGTGGCTTTGGTGGTTTTTGTCCCTGACTGAGGGTTCCAGTCTATGCTGGTTGGTACATCTCTTCAGTCCCCTTCATGGGAATCTGCTTCCCAGGTTCCTGTTGTCCTGTTTTTGAAGGAACAAGGTGGGGGGACGACTTAAGTTGTCCTGTGAGCAAGTACAGGTTTGGTTAAGGCAAAGTCAATGAGGTTTCATTTTTGAGAATTTTTCAGTTTTCCCTCATAGGGTCTCACTGTTGTAACCTGGAACTTGAGATTCCCCTGTCTCAGCCTGTCTGAACACTGAGATCACAAGGCCTACGTTATGTTGGCTTTTAGTTTTTTGTTACTAATAATTTTGAGTCAGGGTCTCAGTGGGTAGCCCTGGTTGACATGGAACTGGCTATCCATAGACCAGCCTGGCCTGGAGCTCACAGTCTCCTGAGCGCTGTGTGCCGCTATGCCTGTCTTTATAAAAAAGGGAGAGAAAAAAAAAAAAAAAAAAAAAAACATGCTGGGTGGTTAAGAACACTTGCTGCCCTTGAGACCTAGATTTGGGTCCCAGCAACCTCATGGGGGTTCACAACCTTCTGTAATTCCGGTTCCTAGAGATCCAACGTCATCTGCCCTCAGGAACACGAGTACACAGACATAACACGCAGGCAAAACACCCGTACACATGCTAAGAACTGTACATGGCACTGCTGCCCCTTCTCCTTCAGCTTGTGTCTAAATCTCTTCATTACTGGAACAAAAAACAGGTGCGACAGGAGCACCCCTGGGGAGGAGAGTACCCGACAGGAGCACCCCTGGGGAGGACAGAGTACCCGACAGGAGCACCCCTGGGGAGGACAGAGTACCCGACAGGAGCACCCCTGGGGAGGACAGAGTACCCGACAGGAGCACCCCTGGGGAGGACAGAGTACCCGACAGGAGCACCCCTGGGGAGGACAGAGTACCCGACAGGAGCACCCCTGGGGAGGACAGAGTACCCGACAGGAGCACCCCTGGGGAGGACAGAGTACCCGACAGGAGCACCCCTGGGGAGGACAGAGTACCCGACAGGAGCACCCCTGGGGAGGACAGAGTACCCGACAGGAGCACCCCTGGGGAGGACAGAGTACCCGACAGGAGCACCCCTGGGGAGGACAGAGTACCCGACAGGAGCACCCCTGGGGAGGACAGAGTACCCGACAGGAGCACCCCTGGGGAGGACAGAGTACCCGACAGGAGCACCCCTGGGGAGGACAGAGTACCCGACAGGAGCACCCCTGGGGAGGACAGAGTACCCGACAGGAGCACCCCTGGGGAGGACAGAGTACCCGACAGGAGCACCCCTGGGGAGGACAGAGTACCCGACAGGAGCCCCCCTGGGGAGGACAGAGTACCCTACAGGAGCACCCCTGGGGAGGACAGAGTACCCGACAGGAGCACCTCTAGGGAGGACAAAATGCCTGACCGGAACCCCCCTGGGGAGGACAAATGCCCGATGGGAGCACCTCTGGGGAGGAAGAGTTCTTTTGGACCCGATTTCACTTCATCACTGCAGGGAAGGCTTGTTCATGGCGAAGGAGCATCCGAAGGGTAGAGCGGCGTGAGCCAGCACTGGGGCAGACATCAAAGACACAGCCTAGCGACTCAGGTGCTGAGTCCCCATCCCCTAAAGACTGAGGACCACGCTTCAGAGCCTTAGTGTGGGGTGGGAGAACTTCCAGTTCTAGGCATAGCAACCAATTCTGGCAAATCCTTAGTGGTTTGTTTTTGTTTTTTTTTCAAATACAAACAGAAATATGTCCTTATTTATCCTCCTATTCCCGCTTAAAACCTAAAGTGTTCTTTTCTCACTCTGCTTTATTGGTGTGGCAGCCTCTGGAATTCGGTCCACATCAGGTCCTAAGGCGTCCATGGCAGACTGACCACCATTGACCCAGCCGGGGCCCTGTGACGGCAGGTGGGCAGTGTCTGATGGAGTAACCGCACCGTGTGCACATTTAAAGGCATGCCTGTTTAGTCAGAATCCTCCCCTGAGGAGGTGTGAACAGGCTGCTCTCTCCTTGTAAGGTCCCTATAGCAAAAGGAAGTAATCTACCAGTTCACCCAGTGAGTTTACCAGGCTTCCTTACTGGGGGAGGCACTAATGACAGGTGTGTGGTATCTCCACACAGCTGCAACAGAGACCATACTAACCGTGGGTGACTCCTACAGTCATAGAGATGGGTCCCACCCCACTGCAAACCGTCCCCAACCTGTGCATCTAGGACCTCCCGAGACTCAGCTCACAGGCCACATGCAATTAGGGCAGAATTGCACACAAATGGTGACCGTGCGTGCGTGCGTGCGTGTGTGTGTGTGTGTGTGTGTGTGTGTGTGTGTGTGTGTCTTAATCTCAGGTGAGGGTGACGACCCTGCAGTAATTTCCCAAATCCCCTCCAAATTGAAGGTGACTGAGTCTTGCAGCCGATCTGTCAAAGATGGGGGCTGCTTTGCCCAGAGGAAATGCATCCCACAACAACCTTGAGGGTAAATTCCTAGAACCAGAATTACTGGGTCAAAGGGTCAAATTACTGTCAACAAGCTGTGGTGAAACCTGCCTGAGTCTAATCCCAGCACTCTGGAGGCAGAGGCAGATGGATCTATGAGTTTGAGACCAGCCCGGTCTACAGAGCGAGTTCCAGAACGACCAGGGCTACACAGAACTTGTCTCAAACAAAAAGATTTGCTTGTAGCTTTATGTGCTGCGTGTTCACATCAGCAGTATGGTGTCTGAGGAGGCCAGAAGTGGGTGTTTTGTTTTTTGAGACAGGCTTTATCTGTGTATGGTTTTTCGAGACAGGGTTTCTCTGGATAGCCCTGGCTGTCCTGGAACTCATGCTGTAGACCAGGCTGGTCTTGAACTCACAGAGATCCGCCTACCTCTGCTGGAATTAAAGGCCTAGGCACCAATGGGCTGTTAGTTTTTAAAACAGATCTGACTTTGTAGTTAGGCCAAATATTACGGACATACTTTGCAGTTTCTAAGTAGCCTCTAGAGGGCAGTAGCACCCCACCGAGAGCCTCTGTCCTGGGCAGGAACTTCCTGCCCCAGGATGAACTGGTGGTCTCTATGTGAGTCTTCCAGCTGACCGCTCTATGCTTTCTTGCTCCTGGCCGCTGTCGGCCTGTGGTCTTCAGTGGCTCCTACGCAGACCCCCTTAAACTTCTCAGATCAACGTCATCGAGTTCTCCACACTTTCTGTTTTAGCAGACACTACCACCTAGCTTGCTGGTCAAAATCTTGGGCCTCATTCTTGGCATTCATCTGGGCCCAGCTGGATCCCTCCCTCCTTCCCACCACACAGCTCTCCTAGGTATCTTTCTGTCTCCAAGATGGCCGGTGCCTCTTGCTAGTTTGGTTAGAGCTATCTTTTTGTTGTTGCTTAGACAGGTTCCTACTATGTAGCCCCGAATAGACTGGAACTTAACACATAGTCCAGGCTGGCCATGAATTTGCCATCTGTGTCTGCTTCCCAAGTCCTGGGAGTACAGGCAAGTGCTATCATACTCAGACAGATCATTTTCTCACTCAATTTTAACTAAAAAAAAAAAAAAAAAAGTATTCACAGCTAGGCCTTTAATCATAACACTCAGAAGGCAGAAGCAGGTGCATCTCTGAGTTTGGGGCCACTCTGGTCCAGAGAGTGAGTTTCAAGATAGTCAGAGCTACACAGAGAAACTCTGTTTCGAAAAACCAAAAGGTAAAAATATATTTACTTGCAATTATTGTGTGTGCCATGTGTGACAGCCACGTCAACAACTGTGGCCTTGTTCCTTTCCTGCTGCCTTTATTTGGGTGCCAGGGACAGAATTCTGGTCACCACACCCAGCAAGTGCTTTCGCCTCTGAGCCGTCTTGCCCAACCTCTACATTCATTTTAAATTCCCCTCGTTTTTGTTTTTGAGGCAATCTCATGTAGCCCTGGCTGCCTTCGAACTCGCTATCCACTGAGAATGGTCTTGTGCAGCTGGTCTTCCAGCTTCCCAGGGTGGAGAAGGATGTGTGGTGTCTTCCTGGGCAGCGACTCCCACCAAAATGGAAGCTCCCCATTTCGGCAGGCCAGCTGGCTAGCAAGCTCTGGGAGCTGCCCATCTCTGCCCCCGCCCTCAGTGCTGAGGTTACAGGCTTGTGTCCGAGTTTATGGGGATCCCAACTCCACTCCCCATGTGATGGTGAGCACTTTACCCCAGGCTCTCTACGGCTACCAGGGAATGAGTCTCCCCATGGCTGGGGCCTACCTCCACCGGAGTCCCATTACCGCGTAGCTCTTATTTGCTGAATAAATGAGAAGAGAAAGCAGTGTTAAAAGATCAAAACAACTTTCCTTTGCCTGCTTCACCGGTGAGGAAAGAACCAGGTGCCCCATCTGTGAGGCCAATGCATCCCAGAGCTGGGATCAGCCTGCAGAGGGCTGCCGACGGTCTGCGCAGGCGCTTTAATGTCACGTCCCACCTCTTCCAGCAAGGATGACGCGACCACCGGAGCTCTTCTCGCTGCAGTTTATTCCAGGACTTTTTACAATTCTCTCATTTTCTTCCCCTCTCTCCTCTCTCTCTCCTTTCTCTTTCTCCCTCTCTCCTCTCCTTTTGACCTCTCTCTCTTCTTTCTCTCTCTCCCTGGGCAAACCTCTCCCAGCCCTTAAGTAGGCATGGGCTGCCAATCCCGGATTGCCAGGTGGGCACTGCCCATAGGCCCACACGTATGCAAGCAGCTGATAATCATTGTGCGATCATAGCATAAGTCAGGTCTTAGCCATCTCAGGAGTTGATTATACATCTCGAATCTCGATCAGTTGTGATTCCATGCAGCTCGCTACACTTTAAGGGCTGGGAGCAGGGTGCAGGAAGCCATGCTAGTTCCTCACAAGCCTCTCTCAGGTCAGCTAGGCCCAAACACCAGTGGTTTCCAGTTCTTCCTGACTTGTGCAAAGCAGACCATCTGGGTGGTGAGCTCGGGTGTTTGGGGAGGTCCAAAGGCCCCACCGTCTTGAAGTAGGTTGAGTTAGGTCACCCTGCCCCTGTCCTGGCTGGAAGCTTTGAGCATAGTCTGGAGAAAGCTCTCTGTGGTCAGGTTCTGGGTGCGGGTGGAGTCCCTGAGCCTTTCGGCCTCTCATGCTTTCCTTCTCTTTGACCCCTGATTTCTCAGCTCTGCTTGCCAAGGCCCAGAGGCTAAGAAGCCGAAGCAGGTGGTCACTGTGGCCTGAAGTGAGCACAGGCAAGGAGGCTGTGCTCACTGCTCTCTGAGTTTGGCTCTGTGATTTCGGGGTGGAGGAGGTAGCCTTGTGAGCGCTGGTGCTGGGGGTATCCTAGGAAGCAAGCCGGCTTGGGCCTGACCCCTTCAGCTTCCTCTGGAACAGTTCCTCTGAAGCACAGCCTGGCCTGTCATGCCCTGGGCACTTTCTCAGGTGTAGCTGGGGCCTGGGAACCAGTACAAGTGTCTCCCTCCTTACTATGAGCAGTTGTGCCCAGCCACTGGGTCTCCCAGGCTTGGAGTGCCACAACCTGTCTTGGCCATCTGTGACCTCCAGCTGGTACCCAAATGTAGAAGGAGCTGCGGGCTGTGTTCTTGCCGCCCAGCTCCTGGCCACCTGGCTAGCTTATGCCCCGAAATAACAACACACAAACTGTATTCATTTAAACACTGCCTGGCCCATTTCTATTAATGTGTGTAACATCCCAACGTGTGCTTACCGGGAAGATTCTAGCCTACGTCCATCCTGGGTCGGAGCTTCATCGTGTCTGCTCCAGAGAGCAGAGCTAAGGCATGTGAGCTCACTTCCTCTTCCTCCCAGCATTCTGTTCTGTTTACTCCACCCACCTAAAGGCTGGCCTATCAAATGGGCCAAGGCAGTTTCTTTATTAGCCAATGACCTTCCTCCATCACCCAAAGGTGGCAGCTAGGATAGACCTAACCTTGCTGCTGTTCCTCTGAGGCTGAGACCTTGGGGAAACATCCACACATGCTCAGTGCAGGAAGGGTTGAGATCAAACTGGGCAGAGTGCTTCTCTGCTCTGCTGGTACCAGGCAGGGACCAGGTTGGCCAGGCCTGTTTCTGTTCTCTCACGTATACCATGTCTAACGGCTGTCTGTAGTCAGTCTCACAACGTGGCCTCTCCTCATTCACCCACTGACGCCAAGCCAGAGTTCTTCTCCCGTGGGGTAGCCAGGTTCCATTTGGAACTGGCCAAACATACACAAGCCGGATTTGTTCTCACGCCACGTCTCCTCCCAAGTCCTGCATGGAGATGGCAGCTACAGTAGGCTGGCCTCACTTTCTACACCTTGTTTTGACTTGTCATGCCCCTATGGCATCTCTAGTGTAGAGGCTGAGCCCCACCAGTCACCAGGAAGCCTCACCCAGACTAGCTGCCACCTGCTCCAGTGTCTGTTTTGAAATCAAGAACCTGTGGGTGGCGCTATTGCTCTCAGAATGTCTTCTCATCTGGGGTCACGGTGAGGATAAACCTGGAGGGGAGGAGAAGCCTGCTGCCCTAGCCTTGGTGGCTCCAGACCAGTTGCCTGTTGACAGGCTGGGCTTTCCCGCATGAGCTTGACTTGGGCCATGGTCATTGACTTTAGAGCCCAGCAGGACCTGACTCCTATTTTTGTTTGTTTTGTTTTTTGTTTTGGGGTTTTTGAGACAGGGTTTCTCTGTTTAGCCTTGGCTGTCCTGGAACTCACTCTGTAAACCAGCCTGGCCTCCAACTCACAGAGGTCCGCCTGCCTCTGCCTCTGCCTCCCCAGTGCTGGGATTAAAGACGTGCACCACCACCGCCCCAGCTGTGGGCTGACCTCGAGATCACGTCCAGTGAGCTCAGGGATCTGCCGCCTGCCGAGGAGCCAGTCCTGAAGGGAAGAAGCAGGGATCAAGGCATAGACAGCTGTTCAGATTTGTTTTAAAAAATATTTAATATCATAAAATTTCAAAGCGTACCCTCTATTGGATAAACCAGTTCACCGGCAGTGTAGAGTGCCCCTCTGACTTTGTAGGTTACCCACAAATGCCGTGCAAACACATGTGTGCACACAGAAGAGACTGGGGGGATTATCAACCCTGGTTATCCAGACGGTGCAATTATAGAATTTGTAGTCTATCCTTTAAGTTTTAAATTTAAAATTAATTTAAAAAACATCCCCCAGTATATATGTAAGTTTCCTAAGTAAAGAAGAATTTTTTTTTAAAGGTTAGATGTCTGCTCAGGTTTTCCCTCCTAGTAAGAAGCAAACCTCTCAAGTCCCTTCACCCACGAGGACACAGCGGGCACATGACTGCTAACAGGACACAGGAGGGCCACAGGTTAGGGCCACACCTGCCATCTCTTCACCCCAGAGACCCCAGTGCTACAACTTGGTCCGTCCCACAGGTGGTCACAGCACACGCCCCCCCCTCACTCTGAGATGTTTTGGGGTAAGCATAATTTTGTTGTCAATACAGCAACAGCAGGGGACATTCTGGGGGAAGATGGCATTGCTAGGAAGCTGGCTTGGGCCATACAGCCAAGTCCATTTTAAACAAGATACTATCAGCCAGGCGGTGGTGGCGCACACCTTTAACCCCAGCACTAGGGAGCAGAGGCAGGCAGATCTCTGTGAGTTTCAGGACAGCCTGGGCTACAGAGTGAGTTCCAGAATAGTCAGGGATACACAGAGAAACCCTGTCTCAAAAAACCGAGAGAGAGGGAGGGGGAGTGGGGGAGCGGGAGGGAAATGGGAGGAGGTGGAAATTTTGAATGGTATTATTTATAAAGCAATAAAAAAAATCTAAAAAAAATAAAAAAGCTGAGAAAGAAAAAATAAAACCAAGAGAGAGGGAGAGAGGGAGGGAGGGAGGGAGAGAGAGAAAGAGAGAGAGAGAGAGAGAGACTATCTACATACACCTCTACAGGTGGCAGGTGCTGCGGGCCCTGTGGGCACATCTGAGAATTGGGTGAGGGGGCTCACAAGGGCAGGTCTAACCCAGCACCCAGTGGGCCCGTGTTAGCACTGAGGGCTAGACAGGGCAGAGTACAGGGCCACCAGAGCCAGGACTTGATGGTACTTGTGTTCTGCTCCACTCCAAACCCGTGCCCCCGGCCTCTCTTCTTGTAAACAGTAGGGAGTTTCTCCACAGTGCCCTCCTACTTTCCTGCAGCTAGACACGGGAAAAGCACTGTACCCAGCTGGCATCCAGATGTGCTGGGCTGCAGCCATGAAGATGTCATGAGGGTGTCTGTCCCCCACAGTCAGTCCTGCCTTTATGTCCTGTGGTGTTTTCTCATTGCCCTTAGGGGCCTCCAGTGAAGGTCATTTTTGCTTCTGATGTTTACCTTGGGTGGTCAGAGGGTACCGTTAAGCCAGATGGTCTTTGTGGTAACGCTGGCACCCCAGGTGCTATGTTTATGTATATATTTATCTACCTTCTCTAAGACTTTCCACTCCGTGTCACCCATGACTGCCAGATGTCCGAGCACTGGAGGCTGTGACTCCCAGGCCTTTGCTTTGCTGTGGGAGGAAGTCACAGTGGCCCCGTGCCCCTGCTCAGCCTTGTGTCCGTACACAGGCTGCATTTCCCACTCCTTTCGCATCCGCAGGTGCCCTGACCACGCCAGGCTAGATGCTGGCTCTGACGAGAGCAACCCTGATGCCTCCGCTTCCTGCTTTGGTTCAGGGGATTCTCGTCGTTAAGACTGAGAGGATGGCCAGGGAGGTAGAGAGGTCCTCTGGCAGGAAATGAAAAACATGGCTCCAATTTAGATCTGGGATGTCCCCAACAGCCTGTGGACTCGAGGCTTAGTCCCAAGCTCAGGAGCTGGTGGCAGCTATGGCTGAGGAGGTTTTTCTGGCCATGGGGCTTGTGTCATTGAAGGAGAGTCTGGGGCTCAATCTACTCTTTCCTTCAGCTTCCTGTCCTCCCTGAGATGAGTGGTTTTGTCCCGTCTTGCTCTCTGCCACAATTGGTTGCCTCACCACCAGCCAAAAGCGGTGGGACAAGCTAACCACAGACCTCTGAAGCTATGAGTCAAGAGAAACCTTTTCCTGCCTCCAATTGATTGTCTCCGGCGTTTTGTTACAATAACAGAAAGCCAGCGTTGTGTTACAGATGGGAGGTTTAAGCTTGGGTAAGGAAGGTCATTTGTCCAGACACTAAGAAGTCAGTGTCTTGACGTTCAGGCGGAGGCCTTGTGCAATCCCAGCCACCCTTTCTTTGAAGCCCAAAGCTCTTTTGTTCTTTTCTAAAGATTTATTTACTTTTATGTGTACGAGTGTTTTGCCTGCATGTATGTCTGTACACCACATGCATGCAGTTACTGGAAGCCAGAAGAGGGCATTGGGTCCTCTGGAACTGGAGTTACAGACAGTTGTGAGCTGCCATGTGGGTGCCGGGAATCAAACCCTGGTCCTCTGGAAGAGCCGCCAGTGCTCCTAACTCCTGAACCATCTCTCCAGCCCGAGAAGCCTGAAGCTCTTGGCGAACTCACCATCTTGCGGATATCCTGGGCCCATTCTTTGTATACATGGAGGGGTCCCCTCCTCCGACCTCACACAGGAGCCCATTCTTTGTATACATGGAGGGGTCCCCTCCTCCAACCTCACACAGGAAACCCTCCCAGGCCCAAGGGGAAAGGCTGCTGGCCTGCAGCATGGCCCCAATCTCACTCCTGCAAGCCTCACTCTGGTGAGTCCTAGCCTCCCTGAGGCCCATTCAGGGGTGCAGAGTGTGAACCCCAGCGAGTGCATCCCTGGGCACCTGGGTGGGTCCACCTCCGCTGGGTGTGTCTCTTGATGGGGATGGGCCCGGGACCTGCTCTTAATGACACAGTTTGGGCAGCTGGACTCTGTTCCCGCAGGTAAATTACAGGCTTAGCAAGTCAGAAATCAAATAAACACTCCAGCTCCCAGCGGCTGCCCCAAGGAGAGCAGTGGTTTCTGAGCCTCCCCTCCCAACTCGGCCTAATTACCACCTGCCATCCCCTGGGACAGGGGCCCTTTCTTTGACTCACAGGTCCCAGAAACAGGATGGGGCTGCTGGGCCCCCAGGGTGACGCCAACTTGGTGACCAACCTGTTCTTAGTTCCCAGACATGAGCAAACGTGGACACTCCTCCCCTTTGCCCCACGCCTGACTGGAGGGCCTAGGCAGAATGGGAATGGGTGGCTTTTCCTGGAGAAGAGGGAAGCCGAGACCTTTCCTTCGGAGTAGCTGGTGGCAGCATTCTGCGGCTCTGTGCTGAGGATGTGGAGGGCTGTCCAGGTGCAGCTGAGTGCTTGCATGGGGATCCCTGAGCAGGCCATCAGCTAGAAGAAGCAGTGGCCCCCACTGGTGCCAACCTGCACCAGTCACTTCAGGGTGTTCTCGCTCTGTCTCAGCGTCCAGCCCCCAACTGGTCAGCATGGTAGCCGTGGTAGAGGGAACTGGAAGTTCCCAGGGTCCTTTGCTCCTGGGCAGAGGGCAGGCCCAGGACACAGGTCATAAAATGCCCCTTTCACCGGTCCCAGCCAGATGGTTCTTTTGTCTTCTCTTTTTTGAGACAGGATCTCCCTGTGTGGCCTTGAACTCACAGAGATCTGTCTCTCTGGTGCTGGGGTTAATGGCGTGCACTACCACAGCTGCCTCTGACTAGTCTAACGAGTTAACTCCGCAGCGCAGGTGGACAGCCAGGCACTGATCTAAGTGGGCGTGTCTGTTATATCTAGACACGCCCCCCACCCCCTGCCGCGGTGAATGGTGCGGAGCCCAGATCAGCCAGTTTCACACTCCAGGGCCGCCTTAGACCATCCAGGATTGACCATTCTGGGCTGGGGATGGCCAAGGACCGGTCTTCCTCTCATGTGGGGGGGGGTCTTCAGTGCTGACCCCAGACCCCTCAGTCAGCACAGCTCTAGGATGCCACGTGCACTCAGTCTGTGCTTGGGGAAGCGGAAGGGGGCGGGCAATAGGCCACAAACCCCAAGGAGGGGATAGAGGAGCTGGGAAAAGACCAAAATTTTAGCAGGAAGTGGCCAGGGGAAGTCAGGGCCTCCCGTTGCCCCCGTCTGAGCTATGATATCATAGGAGGGTTTCCTGCCTCTGGAAAGGGGCCCGACCAGACGGGTAAGGTAGCAGAAGCAGGTTGCAGAGCAGGGCCTCAGTGGCAGCCGCAGGCCTTGACCACCATGTTGCGGTGCTTGCGCAGGATGACGTTGTTGCTGCTGTCGTAGTAGAGCACAGAGGTGGCACTCAGTTTGGTGGGTGCGCAGCAGGCCTTGGGGACGACATCTGGCTTCATCAGGTGTACCTGGCAAGGAGGGAGGGGGATGCAGGCAAGGGCATGAACCTGGTGCCCTCCTCAACGACCTGCCCAGCAAAGCCCCGGCTCTCACTTGCTCCCTTTCCAGGTGCTCTTAGCGTCTTTGGCCAGCCCAAGGTCATTCTCTACCTTTGGCTAGAGTAGCTCCGGGTACCTTTGTCCCACCCTCTGACCTCAGAGCACAGCCCAGGCACGAGCTTAGAGGGCCTGACACACAAACCCACTGGCACTCTCTGCCCCCGGTCCACTGCCATATCTGCTCTGCCAGACACAGACGACTCTGCTGGTCCCCAGCACTGGGTGCCCATGGCTGTGTACCTGCTGAGGTGCCTCTTCTGGACACTCACTGCCCCACACTGCTCTGCGTGTTACTATATCCCCCAACAGGTGTAGAGCCGTGTGTGTGTGTGTGTGTGTGTGTGTGTATGTGTGAGAGAGAGAGGGAGAGAGAGAGAGAGAGCGCATAAGCTCTTGAACTCTGCCCCACTTGATGTGGCTCAGCCTCTGAACTTGTGCGACAAGACTGGCTTTGTAGGTGAAGCACAGAGGCCGTGGGGTTCCCACCGCCACTGGCCTTGAAAGCGGTGTTAATCCGCACACCCATCGCTAAAGCAGTTTTGCCTTCCTGAAAGTCTCAGTGAGTCATAATCTATCAGCCTCTAAACATGCTTATCCCGGAGTTCAAACTGGATTCCTCTCAAGGTTCCCACCAGAAGAGGGGACAAGAATCTAACACCTCTGTGTGCGCATGCATTTGTGTGTGTGTGTGTGTGTTCAGCCGCCCCGAGTTCCACAGGCTTTCCAGGTCCTGGGAGCAGGGGCTCCATAAAGCAATCTGATGAACACTCTCTTCCCACAGCCTCTGCACTGCAACTGCTGACTGGCCTGGTATGGGGCGGCAGCCCCACCGCAGCCATGGAGGAGGACAGGTCTCCAGGGTGACATACAGCCAGACTGGCACCTGGGGGTAGCTGCTGCCCACCTCTCCATCTACAAATGCATGGGGCAGAACTAGGAGATGCCTGCTGTGCGTATGAGTGTGTGTGGAGGGGTGCTGAAATGACTCCAGAGGGGGCTTTCCTGAGCTGTGCCACTGGCGAGAAGAGGGTAGACACACAAGGTACCTCCTCCTTCCCACGCTGGCCACAGCGCTAGGCTTCACTGAGTGGTGATGTGGAGAACAGCCTTTCGCTCACACAGCATCTACAAACCGATTCACAGCACGGACGGGGCCGTCTGTCCTGGAACTTGCTATGTAGATCTGACTGGCCTCAAACTCACAGAGACCCACCCGCCTCTACCTTCTGAGTACTGGGATTAAAGGTGTGCACCCCCACAGTGCCCGGCGTGACTTTCTTCTTTCTATTGCTGCCCTGGATGGTCCTGACGCAGAAGCCCAAACCAGGCTCCCCCTATCATCAGAACACGTGGTTCTCCTCTCATTCCCTGTTGCTTTGCTTACGTTCTTACTACAGCCTCTCCAGGGGACAGAGACGGTCACGTCTGCCGCCAGGCAGGTCATGAGCACTTGCTTACTTTGGCCAAGCCATTGTCAACAGGGGAAACAGAGGCCAGAGCAAAGTGAGGAGGAAAGGAGACCTGGGAGGCGAAGGTCCACCCATCACACCAGGGGACTAAAGACTGAGTATCTCAGTGTCACCCTGGGCTGCTCCTCCCACGACAGCAGTGGCCTCAGTGAAAGGATGCCTTAGCATCAGCTCAGACAGCTCTTTGTAATTCATGATGCTCAGTCCGGGGCATCACTTGGCACAGCCTCTTGCTAGATAAACACGAAACCACGGGGCACCAGGATTCCAGGAAAAGTATTCTAGAATAAGGTCTAGACCCCAGAGTCAGTAAGCACCAATGCCTGTCAAATACAGGCTGTGGTGTGGCTCCTGCTAGAACCTGCTTCCATTGCTCACCCCCTGAAACACAGAGGCAGAGGCAGGGCTCTGGGGAGACCTCGGCTGGCTGTGTGCTTGCTTAGTGCAGGAAGCCCTGGACTTGATCCACACATCACATGAATCAGGCATAATACTGCACACGTATAATCCCAGCACTCTGGGCTGGAGGCAGGCGAGCAGAAGTTCAAAGTTATCCTTGGTTACACACAGAGTCTGAATTCAGCCTGGGATATATGAGGGGGAAACACCAGGAATGAGCCAAGGCCCAGAAGAGCAGGGAGCCCAAGGGGAGGCCCACCTGACCAGGCATGACGGATAAGCATACATGTACACTAGAAACGCCAGTGCCACCATGTCCACTGGGCACACTGAGGTCACACAGGCTGCCATGGGATGACACTCTGTAGCTAACTCTGCAGAGAAAGCCCCCCCCCCAGGCTGACATTGTTCCCACTGCCTGCCCCCGCCCTCTGGGTCCCAGCTGGCCACTGTAGTACTGACCAAGGACTGCAGGATCGCATGATTGGTGGCATTCATACAGGAATCCAGCGGGAAGGCGCACTCCCCCTCGCAGTAATAGGCTGAGTAGCCTTGGGGGGCGATGACCCAGTCCTGTGGGAAGGGGAAAGCTGAGTCACATCAGCGTGTCCTTCCAAGACCACTGGCACAATTCCTGTCGCAGGGTGACCTGAGGCTGTGAACCCTCATCCCCTCAGCAGGCAGGGTGCGGCGGCAGCTCTGTCCTCCAGGCCTCACCCTCTCTGCTGTGTCCCCCACGGCTGCCCCCACGCCTCCTGCAGCAGCTGTGGCAGGAAGAGCGCAAAGCCCCCCCCCCCAGCCTCAGTTTCCCCATTCTAGCGCAGAGTTGACTGGGCAGAGGGCTCAGATGGCCTCCGTTTTCACAGTTAAAGGCACAGTAGCTCCACCCCCTCCCTGGTGACACCAGGCTCTTCAGGTGGCTTTCAGAGAGGAGAAGCAGACGTTACCAGCCAGCCGAGGTCCCGGAAGCTGACGTAGAGCTCATGCCTACGGCAAACATCTCTGCCTCGGGAGCCATGGGCATCATCTGCAGGGACAAAATGGTACCAAGTCAGGGGTTCCACTCTACGGAGTTGCCATGGGTACTGCCAGTGTCGGGGTGGCATTAACAGGCACATTTACAAATGGAGAACAGGAAGCTAACCATTGGAATCACAAGTTCTACCTCTGGATCCCTGCTCAGGCCATGACCCAGCTCAGCAGTGGCTCCTCAGTGGCTCCCATCAACACAGGGTGTGGCTGTGTTCACACCTCGGCACACATGGCTTCTGATTTCTCTGCACACTTCCCACCCTCCCTGCCTGGCACACCAGTTAGATTCATTGGCAGACCACCGCTTTCTGAAGGGGCCTCAGATGAGGCTCAATCCCACCCTCACCAAAGATCCCCGGGAGTCTGTTGGGATGGGGAAGCTCGTTCGTTTTCTTTGGCTGCCTCTTCTTCAGAGGCCTCACTGCCCGAGGGGCCCGCACAGGACTCGGGCTGGCTCTGAAGAAGGTGACCATGAAAGGCTGTCTGGAGCGTGGTGCGTGTTGTCCCAGCAGACCTGTCAGGCCAGGATCCATGCTGTGCCCTGGGAGATGGAGACAGAGATGAGAGAGAAAGAGAGAGAGAGAAGAGAGAGAGAGAGAGAGAGAGAGAGAGAGAGAGAGAGAGAGAGAGAGAGAGAGAGAGAGAGAGAGAGAGAGACTTGTGGATGGTGGTGTGGCATCTATGAACCTATTTTCTTATCTGAAGTCCAACCCAAGCACTTGGGCCTGAGGTGGCAGGGACAGGGACCTCAGCAGCCACAGGCATAACCTGACATAGATGGGAACATTTGGCAGGTGTCAAGGGTTCTGCCCATTAGTTTCCTCAGGCGGTCGTCACTGTACCCCAAGTCACAGTCGCTCAGAGATGAGCAGAGTCCTCTGCTGGTGATGCTCAGGAGCTGGACTCCCTTGGTCTGGTGATCTAACACCCGGTCCCATCTTCATCCTGAACTTTCTGGGGACTAGAACATGGGGTTCATGACCCACCAGCTCATGGCTGCCTCCGCAAGGACATTGCTAGGGCTTACCCTCCCAGCCCGGCAAGCTTGATCATCCAAGGGCAGGACAGTCACTACCCTGATGCCCACTGATGCCCATGACCCTGATCCCAGACTAAGCAGGGCCAGAGGTCAGAACAATCACAAAGTCCTGGGTCCAGTTCACATCAGGCTCAATCCAGGGCTGGTGTTGTGTTCACCAGGCCAGCCGATGGCTTCAAAGAAAGGGAGGGGCTTGAGGGAGCCAGACCGGAGCTTGTCCACGGGAAGAGTGGAGCCTATGAGGGGGTCCCCTGAGCCACTAAGGACTGCAGGTGCCTCCACAGTACAGTCAACCCAGGAGAGCAAAGCCTCCAGCACCAGCTCAGACTTTGCTGGGGGCCCTGTCCTTTCTAACTGCAGAAGTAACATATTAAGCTGGCAGGGCGGCACTCTCCTGCAAACCTGACATTCAGGCGGAGGATGCAGGAGGATGAGGACGCCAAGGTCATTCTATTCTACATATTGAGTTGGGGGTCAGTCAAGTAAAAGCCTGTTTCCAAAAGAAAACAAGGTTCCTCATTGTGGCGCATGTATTTGATTCCAGCACTCAGGAGGCAGAAGCAGGCAGATAGCTATGAATCTGAGGTTAGCCTGGTCTCCATAGGTGAGTTCTAGACCCACCAAGGCTGTCTCAAAACAAACAAACAAATGAAAAAACAACCAACCTTACAAACAAATAAAATTAAAGATACAAACCAAATAAAAACAGGCAAACAGTGTGATAAACACAGGAGGGTAAAGAACTTTCAAGAAGGAAGAGTAACCATAAATTTCCTTCACAATTCCAGAGCTCTGCTATTTCACATCCTGGGCTGCTTCTGTCCTGCTGGTTTAAGTTGTAACAGTCTTTAGCACTGCAAACCTTTCTCGTCGTTACAATCATTAGAATCATTCTGCACGACAATGGCCACACACAGCAGGCATGACAGGGCTCAGAACCATTCCCTTTGGTGCCCTGTGAGATTCCTACACCAAAGCCCGACGATGCTCATGTTAGCCATCACTAAACACAGCTCCATTGTTCAGTTGACATGTCACAAGCACTGATGCACACATGTACATGCATGTATATTTACAGACACTAATGTGACTCAGTGTTCTCACTTAGTGTACTCAGGGTCCTGGGTTCTACCCCAACCCTGGAAGAAGGTAAAAGAGCCCAAAGGGCTGAGCCACAGCTCAGGAGAGCAGCCTTGTCTGGTAAGCATGAAGCTTTAGGTATAATCCCAACACAAACTGTAACGAAACAGAACACACTCATACGTGCATGCACACTCAGGTCTGTGTGCTCCGTTTGCACTCTACCAGGCTCTTCGTCACACACTGAGTCAAGGCCACTGTCCACTGTGGTGGACAGTCCACTCAAAGGTCAGCCCTTCAGGCAGCTGGACTCCACACTCCACATCTGGACCGGATTCCAGATGTCCACCTGCCACTTGAAAGGAAAGCTCATCAATGCAACCTTTGACCTATGACTTCACCTGCTACTAACTAAAGTGCGAGGCCTGAGACTCCATCGCAGGACAGTGGCTGAGGGCTAGGGGACAAGGGGACAAGGGGCGTGGGCTGCAGGCGTGGCCCTGGAAGAGACTCAGGTGAGGTCAGGCAGGAGGAATGGGGTCCAGAGTGAGGCTGGTGGGAAGCAGGTGGTGTGAGAAGGCAGAGCCTCAGGCAGAGGGAAAGACAGCCAGGGCCCCGGGGCCACACATGGGTACGGCAGAGCAGCTGGGAGCTGGAAGGACCCACAGTGTCAGGCCCTGTGAATGACAGAAAGGGCAGGCTTGGGCCCAGGACAGGGCCTGTGTCCCTGCTTCTTACTGTGGAGGCCCTGAGGCCTGGTTTCTGCGGAACTCAGAGGCCATCAGTGTTCCAGACTCAGCCACCTTTGCTTTTCTCTTACGTAACTGGTTTTCTAGGCTCTGCTGGACACAGAGCAGTCCTTGGCTGAATTCCTCAAAACTAGCTTGGATGGGTGCTGGGGACCTCTGGGGGCTCCCAAGGCAAGGTTAGCTGTACTGGGAGCCCATGGATGCAGCTAAGCCAAGGTTCCCATTTTAGAGGCACACAAACTAAGACCCAGAGAGGGCATCAACTCTTCAAGGCCTGGAGCAAGCAGCTGCAGAGCCTAGCAACTCCTACCCCGCCCAGCACAAGGCAGAGACCGAGTAAGGCAGGGCAGAAGCCCACAGGAACTGCGGCTGCTCTTTTTAGAGTTCTGTATTTGATGCGCACAGAGAAGGTGTTCCTCGCCCGAATCGGAAAGCACCTTCCCTATCCGCTCTGCTCCTCGATCCCCATCATCAGACAGAACTCTATCAGGTCAAAGGTCACCAGGCTTCCCAGCTCTGGACAGAAAGGAATGGGGGGGATGCTTTCTCAGAGCACACACACACACGCACACACACACACACATCTATGTAACTTTTTTCACTTTCACTGTGAGATTACAGATTCAGAATGACAGACCCCAAGATGCCATATTGGAGTTAGGAAGGGAGGCCAGAGGACTTCCCGGACAGAATGTCAGTGTGGTAGGGGCAACAGGAGACACTGCAGTTCACTAGGTAAGAATTCATCCATGTGCTGAGCTTGGGCCTCTTTGGAGACATGCAGAACACTGTTTATGCACAGTGGGTTTTGCAGGCGGAGAAACAGCACCAACCAGCTTCCCTCTGTCTCATTCCACAGGCCACAGGCTACAGGCCTGCCTCCCTTCTAGGGACACATAAGCAGCTCCCAGGAGGAAGGAGGTTGAAGGCCATATTCGGGGTAACAAAATTAGGAGTAGAAACAAGGGCCCAGGAAGAGAAGCCAGAGCTCCTCCTGCTCGCAGACCCCTAGTTCTGCATTTCGTGGCACCAGGTGAACTCTGGATTCCTTCCCGCCCTTTGCTTTCTCTACGGTTCGTGATTCAGTTATGAGGAGCCATAACTCAGACCTGTCGGGGATGCTCTGGAGCCTTGTATGCGAAGGTCACAGGAACTGGGAGAGGTGGATCAGTCTCCTCGATGGTTTTGGCGAAGGGCTTTAGTTAGGCACCTGACACACAGGCTCGGCTTAGGATTTTTAATTAAAATCACTCGGCTCTTGAGAAGATACCATCCGGCAGCAGGAAGACTGAGGAGCCAGTGGCACACAGGTCACATGTCCCCGTGGACGCTAACTCCTTTGCAAACCAGCCCTGGATGGAGGGGTCAGGGCTCCTCAAGCATCAGGTTTGATCTGCTGCATGGGCTTGAGGTTGGGGCACACCTTAAAGTAGCAGGCTGTGGTGGCCTTGAGGTCATCCATCGACGTGTCCTCCCACAGCTCCACCAGCGTCAGCCCCTTCTTTGGGTCCACCTTAAACACGGCCTTCTCGGTGATGATGAGGTCCACGCAGCGTTTGCCCGTCAGCGGCATGGTGCATTTGTCCAAGATCTTGGGTTCCTTTTTCTTGGTGCAGTGTTCCATGGTGACCACCACTTTGGTGTTACCCGACACCAAGTCCATGGCTCCGCCCATGCCCTTCACTTTCTTGCCTGGCACCATCCAGTTGGCCAGGTCACCGTATTTGGAAACCTGCATGGCACCGAGCATGGTCAGCTGGATGTGTCCTCCGCGGATCATGGCAAAAGAGTCATCGCTGGCGAAGAAACTGCCCTCGGGGATCACGGTCACCGTCTGCTTGCCCGCGTTGATGATGTCGGCATCCACCTCATTTTTCAAGGGGTACGGGCCCAAGCCCAGGATCCCGTTTTCACTATGCAGGTAGACTTTCATTTTGGGGCTGATGAAGTTGGTGGCCAAGAGAGGAATCCCGATGCCCAGATTGGCATACATGCCATCCTCGAACTCGAGAGCCGCGCGCTTGATAATGCGCGTCCTGATGGAGTCCTGTTGCTTGCTCGCGGCTGCGGGCTGGCTGTCACGCGTGACCCCGCGCTCAATGCGCTTCTCGTACTTCGGTCCCTTGATCACACGGTCCACGTAGATGTTGGGGATGTGGATGTCCTCTGGGCGGAAAGTGCCCACGTCCACGATCTCCTCCACCTCCACCACAGAGATGTCCGCGGCCTTGCACATGGGTACTTTGAAGTTACGCGCGCTGCCCCGGAAGATCACGTTGCCCGAACGGTCGGCTTTCCAGCCCTTGACCAGGGCGAAGTCGGCGGGGATGGCGTGCTCCAGCAGGTAGTGGCGGCCATTGAACTCGCGCACCTCCCGCGGCTGGCTCAGGGTGACCAGGTGGCCATCTGGCGCTTACCGGATCGGGGCGCCCCCTTCCTGCACCAGCGTGCCGTAGCCCGTAGGCGTGTAGAAAGCGGGCAAGCCCGCGCCTCCTGCGCGGATGCGCTCGGCCAGGGTGCCCTGCGGCGTCATCTCCAGATCCAGCTCGCCCGCCAGGTACAACTTCTCGCACAGCGCGTTTTCCCCCAGGTACGAACACACCACGCGCCTGACCTGCTTGGAGGCCAGCAAGATGCCCAGGCCGAAGTCCTCCACGCCCACGTTGCTGCTGACGATCTTCAGGTCCTTCACCCCCTTGGTCTTCAGCGCGCCGATGAGGTTCTCGGGGATGCCACAGAGCCCGAAGCCTCCGAGCATGACGGTGGCCCCTCCTTGACGCCCTCCACCGCCTTCACAGGGTCCGTGTAGAAGTGGACCCGTCCGTAGCGGTCGCTAGCAAAGCGGAGGACAAGGCGGTGGGGCAGCGCGGGCGGTTGGCGGCAGATGGAGACCCCGCGCGGGAGTGCCCACGCCAAAAGCCTCAGCGCCGCCATCGCCCACAGGCCACGAGGCTCCCAAGACCCGGACAGAGCGGAAAAGGCCTGTGAGCTGCCCCATGCCACCACCGTGCTGCGTCACAGAGCTGGGAGGACACTCACTGGGATCTCCATGGTCACACTTTGCCTGAGCACACCCTTGGCCATCCCTGTCGCCTGACCTGTCTCACAACATCTTGGACAGACACTCGAATTAATGCTGTTGACAGCTGACTGCCAGTGCTGAGTCCAGTCCGCCCCCCCCCCCCACGTAGTACCCTGGAAAGCTCACCTGGGGGCGGGGTTAGGATTCCTCAAGGGGCTGAATTAGCTGGGTCTTTTAAAGCCACAATCACATCTGTCCCCCGCTGCTGTTAAACAACTGCTCGAAACTTTCCAAGTACCTTGCCAGCCTTCCCTAACTCAGAGTGACCCCTGCCACCGCTCTGCCCCTCTCCTTCCAAGCTATCCCTCCAGCCTTTTGCTGGACCCCAGACAGGCCAGCCTCCTGCCCTGCTGTCCTTTCTGCCTCACTGCCCCACATAAAGGGCATGAAAACCCCGAGAGTGAAGCAGCGGCTGTAAACCTGTGTAGATGGGGAAACTGAGGCTCGGGTACTGAGCTACAACACTGCAGGTCCCCCACCCCTCCTTCCTAGTACAGAACCTCTCAGAGTGGAGGTCTGCTGCCCATGAAGAAGTACCCCCCCCATTGGATGCCGGAGCTGGCTCTTGGGAGGTCAGTTGCTATTAGGAATGTCAGGAAAGCAGCCCTCCCTGGCTGGGGCCTCCCCATGTCCAGGACCTCACCACTACCCACTGAGTCCTCAAGAAATGTCAAGTGTTGCCCAGTGAGAGGGCTCTGTGTATTAGGCTGGCAGCCTGGGTTGGAACCACCTCCCAGGACCCCCAGGGCAGCTCCCTGCTAAGCCTGGGAGCCTCACCATCCTCGGTTTCCACATAGAGGCGGAGTCCCAGGTCCTTCTTGTGGTTCAGCAACCAGCGGTCACTGGCTGCCGTGATGTCCAGCACCAGCCAGCCCTCGTCCCCAGATCGGAGCGTCTGAAGATCCAAAAAGAACAAGTCAGACTCCCTGTGGACATGAAAGAACAATTAACCAAGGGCCGAGGTCGCACGCCTGCCTGTATCTTGTGCCTGCCTGGGGGACCACTTTCAGAGCCTCTTCCCTGCTCGGCTCTGGGCTGGCCTCCTCTGGTACCACATTTCACTGATAACCAACCCTGGACATTTTACTGTGTCCATGCGCTGATGGGACACTGGCTCCGCTGTGGCCTATTAGGGCTTTACAGTCATCGTGGCAGCGCAGAAGGTTCCAGGCCAAACCCCTTTCTCGTGTCTGAGGTGCCTCTCCTTTCTGGGAAATGCATCCTCGGTCAGGCCCTGCCAGAGCCTAGACCATGAGACCATGAGTGGGGTGGGTACCTGTGCAGAGGGAAGATACCTGTTGGAGTGCTCCTGGACCACCTCGAACATACTGACATGGAGGGTTGTGTTGAGCGGGTGGGTGCTGGGCTCTTTATATATCCGGAACTCAGCAGCTGTGACAACCTCCCCAGCAGGGATCTGGGTTAGGTCAAAGCGGAATTCCTTCCAGTGCGGCTCCTGGTAGTCCAGGGTACGGTCGCGCTCCACTGGAAGAGAAAGAGGGAGTGGGGTCATTATTGGGAGCCAGGATGGCTTGTGCTCAGAGTAGGGCTCCCTGTGGTTCCTGGGTTGGGGGCCCGCTCCTGCTATACACAAAGCTTGTGGTCTGCTCTGGGAACACAGGAGGTGGTGTAGTGGGAAACTCAGCAAGTGTTCAGCAGGGTCCTGGTCCCACTGATGAATCACGATGCCTCCTCTTAGAGCTGCTAGGCCAACAGCGAGATCGACATTGGTCCCAAGGCAGAAAATTAGCACAGTTCCAGGGGAAAACCTTGTCTACAGGGACGTAATTGGCTGAATTTCAGTGGGACAGAGGACTCCCAGCGCCTGCCCTTGAGGAGAAGGTGGGATGGGGGAGCTCAGATCTGACTGCTGAGCTGAGCTGTTAGTTCTGTGTTTGAATTTCCTGGGTGTCCTGGGAGAGGGATGTGCAGAGTGCAGGCCACATTACAAGGCCAGCAGCAGAAGGGCCTTAGGAAAGGGAGGGACACCCAGTGCCAGCAACCAGGGGACAAAGGACCTGCTAGAGTCAGGGAGACCGGCAGAAAGCAGGAGGAAACAGTGACATCTGAAATGATGGACAAGATGGTGTCTGGGCAGTGGCCAAGCATGCTCTAGACAGAGGGGACTTGTCTGTAGACCATGGTCCTTGGGTGGAGCAGTGGGGTTGGCTGGAATCCAGGTTTGGGAGCAAGGCTGTGCCAGTGGGAGTTATGTGGTCTAAGAGACCCCCTACGGGACCTGCTGGAGGTGAAGATAATGGCAGTCTAGGGTGACAGCTGAAGGCTGGGAGCTATCCTTGCTCCCTATAGCAAATGCCAAGTTTTTAGAATAAAACATGTGCCCAGCTGCCCAGATGTGCTCGGGAAGGTATATTTAGGGTAGCCTCACTTCAGCTGCCCAGATGTGCTCGGGAAGGTATATTTAGGGTAGCCTCACTTCAGCTGCTTGTCACTTTCAAATGCCAAAAATCTGTGTTTCCGGAAAGAAGGGGTGGGGAGCCACCCAGCACCGTCCCCAAAACTCAACAGAGATTTTAATTATATGTTTTAGTCTTAAAAAAAATCCTCTCTGTGGCTACGGGCTCAGTGACCACAAACCAGGTTTTAAAAAGCACCAGGGTGAGCGGATGTGAGGAGTACTTCCTGTCCTTTCCCTTGAGTTCTGGTCCAGTAATAGATGGAATACAGATGTGCTGGGCAGAGCCAAAGGATAGACACATCTGGGCAGGAGCAGCAGGTGGAAAGGGAGAGGAAGGAGTAGATAGTGTCTCATAGCATCTAAAGGTGGTGGGCCCACAGCATGTGCCCAAAAGTCGAGATAGAATGTGACAGGGTGTTGGTCTCTCCCTCGTAGGTCACAAGGCAGACCGCATTGAGAGTGGGTTCTGATCCCTGGCCAAGTGCTTTTTCCTACTATGAATATCTATCCTCATGTGTCCTCCTTCCTACCTAGCTACTTGTACACCCACAATGTTGGTGACCATTTCAGTGGGTTCAGGAGCTGCACAGGCACCTGTCCTACATGATTGTGCTCAGGCCCTGATGTACAGGATAAAGTTGGTCCAGGCTGTTTTCTGTAACAGGGTATGGTCAGATAGGGCCCCTCGGGCACATCCTCCTCCCCACCTTTTTCAGGACAAAGTGGGGCACACAAGGGCATCCTGGGAGCTTTATCTGGGGACCGATCCCGAACTCTGTGGCCACCCTCCCTTAATGATGTGCATGGCCTTCACGGGGTGTCTTGAAATACTCTTAGACTGAACTGGTCCTCACTTCCAGACTTCTGTGCTATGGGCTTGTGAAATCGAGAGGCAGGGTTTCCAGCACCGGAAACTGCTGTGGTTGTCCCAGGCAAGTAGTGGTCTGGGAAGGTTTTTGTTTGTTTCATTTTGGTTTGGTTTTTGGTTTTTTTGAGACAGGCTTTCTCTGTGTAATAGCTCTGGCTGTCCTGGAACTCACTCTGTAGACCAGGCTGACCTCGAACTCACAGAGGTCTGATGGCCTCTGCCTCCCAAGTGCTATGATCAAAAGCATTTGCCACCACCACCAGGCTGATCTGGCATGTTTTTAGAAAAATGGATGTCCTTTTCCTCTGAAGTGCCTCAAAGGTCCTGGGATGCAGCACCAAGACAGATACTGCAGCTGAAGCGGCTCAGGGGAAGCACCTGGTTCTTTGCAGGATGGTGGAGCTGCAGTTCCTCTGTGTTACTAGAGTCTGGAAGGCTGGGGTGGGGGCACCGCAGAGCATTCGCCGGGGCTTTGCTTTCCCTATGAGACTCCTTGAATAGCTGTCTCCACTTTAGTCATGGGGTCGCATTCAGAAGTGTGGCTTGATTGCCGTGGCCGCTCCAGGGTCATCCCCTGTGAGCTTAGCGTGTCCATGTGAAGTGGGCACACATGGGGATCCTTTCTGCAGGACTATGGGAGTACAGGAGCTGAGGGATGAGTAGCAGCCATCTGATGTAGCGGCGTAAATTAATGCAGGCAGATTGTAAAGAATACATACACAGCTTTAACGGGGAAATTAGACTTACAGAACCACGGTTCCCTCGGAGAACAAGAAGCAGGAAGGGGTGCGAGGGCTCCGGGCGCCCGATTTATAAGTAAACATTCGCTCGAGGCAAGTCCGCCCCCTAAGGGGATGGCTTAACCCTACATCTGATCTCTAATTTCTCAACTCCCCCATCTATCAATGGACAACCTTCAGAGAGCCCCACTGGAAGACACATTTGATTCTCTCTCTCTCTCTCTCTCTCTCTCTCTCTCTCTCTCTCTCTCTCTCTCTCTCAACTGGTCTCTCTATGTAGCCCCAGCTGTCCCAGAACTAGCTATGTAGACCAGGCCAGCCTTGAGCTCACAAAAATCCTCCTGTCTCTGCCACCCCAGTGCTGAGTGCTGGGGTTAAAGGCATATGTCACCACTCTTGGCTCAATTTTATTTTTCTGAACAAAAGAATGAACAAGAAACCATATCATGAAAATCTGTCAGCTCAAAGACATATGGGATGTTTCCAGGTGCCTATTCTACCCGTTGGTCTCTGGCAGTTCACTGGGATCTTGTCCTCGGCTGTGTAACGGGCCTCTAATATGGTGCCAAAAGAACCCCACGAGAAGCATTTCCCTTTCCATGCCTGCCCAACCCTCACCTTCCTATAAATTAGGGTCTGGAATCTCCCAAAGATGCCGAGACTCCAAGCGGCAGCCCCTTCACGATGTTCTTGCTGGGATGAGAGCACCGTGTGGCATTTGGACTTTAGTGCACACATGGGCGCAGCACCCAGAATTCCTACCTCCCGGCAGAGTTCCTTCCTTTACAGCATCCTGACGCCATGTGCCATACAGTGGTGGACAGTGAGTTAGAACTAGCCAACAACAAGACAGATGACCAGGGGAAACAAAAGGCTGTGCTTCCCAGCCCCTGGTTGTAGAGTCCACGGAGTGGATCTGGGAAAGGGGCGTGGCCTGGAAGATGTGGTTTCTCGGGTTTTCCCAGTAAAATCCTGTTGCTGGCTGTGATGCTGGCAAAACTCGGTCCCTGGAAGAGTCAGATAGACCCAGTGGGGGTCCGGGGGGGCACTGCCGATTTCCTGGCCACTATGCTGCATCCTGACCATGTGAGATGCCCTGCCAGGAATTCTCGGAGGTAACTCCAGGAGGGGTCGTGATGTTTGGAGCAAGGTCTCTGAGTAGAGTGTCTCTGCCTGGGCAATTAATCATGGATAAATGGGGGTCCCAGAATGTCACTTCAGGGTATGTGGGAGAAGGTTCTGGATGGTTTCTTCTCATGGTTCTCACAGCTTTATAAAATCCTTCAATTTTGTTCTAATGATTCAGGTTAAAAGCATTTACTGCTCTTGAAAGGACCCGGATTCAGTTGCCAGAGCTCACTTATCAGCTCACGATTGCCTGCAACTCCAGTTCCAATGGATTCCTTCTGATCCAAGAGCTTCTGCACACACAGTGCACATATATGCGCACAGGCACACACGTACATAAAACCATCATTTGTTTTTTTTTTAATCCTTCAGTTTCTGCATTCATTTTCCTTAATAACATTCACAAAGATTACTTCATTTATTCATCACATTTCAAAATTTCTTCCATCCATTCATTATTGAGTGTGTGTTTATCTACCTGTCTGTTACCATTGTCTGAACCCAATCTCGACTATCACAGGAAGATGAGCTCAATACCAGTGCAACTGAACCAGACTCGTCTCTCTGACGTCCTCCTTCTGTTCCAGGCTGTCATCTGGGATCCACATGGCATGTCCTTGTCACCTCTCTGTGGGCTCCTCAGGTCTATCACAATTGCTAGCCTTTCCTTATCGCTCAATACCTCGGCACCTTTGTAGGGGGCTAGTGGCATGTCTCAGGATGAGCTTGCCTGTTTGCTCCTGGGGAGAATGATGATAAGCACTTTGGAGAATGGCACAAGTGACCATGCCTTCTGAGGGCATCAGATTAGGCGATACAGTCTCCATGACAATAACTGAATCCTTGGTGTCTGCCAGAGTCCCCCTTCTATGATGTTACCATTTTTCCTTTCGTAATATGGGGAAGGTATCTTCAGGCTTTTCTTGTTATTTTAAATTTTATTTGTATGGATTTTTTTTTGCTTGCTTGTATGTCCATGCACCACATATGTGCGTGGTGCCCGTGGAGGCCAGAAAAGGGCATCAGATCCCTTGGAATTGAAGTTACAGATGGTTGTGAGCTATCATGTGGGTGCTGGGAATCAATGTGAGTCCTCTGCAAGACCAGCAAGTGCTCTTAACTTCTGAGCCATCTATCTCTCCATTTCCACGACGTGAATAATGTGTTTCTTCTTTAGCATCTACAAGTAGATCCTGCCCTCATCAGTCTACACTATCTGCAATAGTATTTTGTTTTCTTCCTCGTTTATTGAGTTGTCCTTTCTCTCAATTATATTAACATAAGTATAGATTAATAGATGTTTATTCTATCCCATAGGCTAAGATCCAAT